GCATTTCCTCGTGTATAAGCACATACTTCGATTCCTGAAAATAAGCTGCCCAAAATTTTGCAAAATAAAATGAAATTGAAAGTCTAGTACGTGAAGAGCTTTCAACCAATCAATTTTGATTACGGCGGCGTCGCATGTGAGCCAAGGCACGTCGACACACTCGGTCAATAGTGTTGCTTCCTGAAACACCTCAGAGTTAACCAGTATTCTTCATATACCGACATTGCGGTACATCAAACATTGAGTCCTTTGAAAAAATTAATCTAAAAATTCCAGCGAAGAGTTCAAAAAACTTTTAAAAAAACACACCTGTGAATTGCCAAATTCCTTCAAGCATTCCTCTTTAAAAGACGCTGATGCATTCATCGATAATACCAGCAAATTGTGGCGCACGATCGCTTTTTCTTTTTGTGATAGCAAAAAGCCAGGAAAAGGAGGTAGCGATATATCTAATCGGTGACGGTAAGTATGCCGCGATGTGACGCTGCTGAAAAAGTGCAATGCTAGACTACACCACATACTACACAACCTTTTTGCTAAATATATAAAGAACTGATAAGAGTGTAAACACAGAAAATGACCTAGCCAAAATCTGTCGAAAAGTGTGCCTCCACTGACCGATTAAAGTGAAGATAACAACATTGTAAAATCTAAAAAAGGCTATATGACATGTGAGAAGACTATAACATGTGCAAATCAAGACACCTCACTCACCTATCGCTTATCATGGCTGCTACGGCATGAGCCATCTCCATGCTAGGAAAACGATGGAGATTGAGGAAATCAACGCCGGGAAAGACGACGCAAGCCTGCTGCGGGTCAGATACGGAATAGGGTCTGAGCAATGATCGAATTAGATGAAACTCTGTAGACGGAACCGGTGTTACCACATTATCATTCTGAAATGGGAAAACTAGAAATGCAAGCAGAGACCAGATAACCGCTAAGAAAGAATTTGTAGAAAAAAGAACAAATGTTAGAACGTACGAAACTCTAAGAATCTCTTTAATGAAAGCTGCTTCTTATTTCTAGTATATGAGATTAAGACGAAAAACTTTTTTTGATGGAAGCGGTAGGTTCCTTAGACAAAATGAAGCATGAAGTCAAGGGAGAGGTGGCAATATTCTAAACTTTCAAGTACAAATCTAGTAAATCAGTGTATTCAAACATGAACACCCTCTAAGTGCTCAGCTCCTTCTAATATGGCTTCGGTATGATTCCCTCTAACTACTTCAGAGCACAAAAAACATAATCCACTCTAATTAAATTACTCCTACTTAGGGTTGAAGGAGGACTACAAGGGTACACCCAATTTGTAGTACCAGATAGTAGGAATGTATCCGTAAAGACAGTGTGACAAATTAATCAATTGATGTTGTAATATTGATAGAAAAGCAAGGGAATGAAAGAGTAGTTATGTAATTCCTAGCGATTATTACCTCATCAACAACGGTTAACAACGGTTGAATATATACAGAAAGTGAGTTGTACTCGAGCATGCAATGTTGCGACCGCAAACACGTTGA